TCAATGACTACAACAATTACACAAGTCGTAAGAAAGGTTTCGAAAGTTTGTGTGGTTTAACAGATGCCATGTTTTGTTTGGTATATCAAATATTAATTGTTGTTAACATTAGTGCAATTCGTAGTATAGAGAATTGGTTTGGTATGCTATCTATTTTTTAGACGAAAGTTTAAAGACAAGCATATTTGGTTCGATACACAACGAAAGTACAGCCCTTGTGAATACCACAAAACGGTGCCTCTTACAATTGAAGGATACTAACCTTCACAAGTATGAAATAAGTACTTTGCAAAATTTACAAATGTATATAGTAACATAAAACAGATGCCACAAACAGAAAAATCTAGAATGTTGCTACGTAGTCCCAGCAAGCATGCACAACAGGTACTAAAAAACCAAAAAAAAACAAACAAAGAGACGTTGTACTTATGAATCAGTAGGTAACGAGTAAAGTTAAAAATGGTTTTGTTTCTTGTTTAACAGTAGTTAACGAGTAAAGTTAAATTTAAAATGGTTGCTCATTTCGCATAAAATGGAACTGGCTTCCATTTTGTTCAAACTAGTACGACTACAAACACCAAAACATAAACCCAAACGAGCACGTACATTTGCATGATAAACGCAAAGGTTGGCAATGAAAAAAAAATTGCAGTAGGAACTACCGATTTGTTGCCACATTTCCTTTTCCCACAAAATGAAGTACAAAAAAATTCCAAAAATCTGAAATGCATAACCGAGCAAATCGCATAGAACAACACATTACACAGAAAGTAATGTGGAAAACGAAAGCACCATTATTAAATGATGACAACTACTGCCCTATTGCAACCAATTGCAACAAATTGGAAGTGGGTACGAACTTTCCAGCACAAAAACCAGAGACAAGCATCTAATACATAATTAGAGGCCAAACTTTCTGGTCTGATAATCTGTAATTTGCAAGAAAAAAGGAAAGGTTGCGAACAAAAAAAAAATTGTAGAAGCAACAATCGCGTGGTTGCCACTTTCCATTTTTGCTATACAGAACGAAATAATAACTGAAAAAACCAAAATGTAAAACATGAAAAAACCTAACAATTTGTACACAGAAACTCATGTGGGAAATTTCTTTGCAAAAAACAGAGGTTCAGAACATAAATTCTTTTGCAGGAGCAACACAAAAATTGAATTGAAATTTCGTTGTTTGGTACAAAGAGGTAAAAACAAATTCCACAAATCGAAAATGCAAAAATCAAGCAATCACAAAACCCAATACATTCTTACAGAAATTCATATGTTACACACATTGCAAAAGGTATGGGTAGCAGTTGTCTAACTCTCCGTTTCTAAAATCATGCATAAACGAACTGACAAGTTGTTCATACCATCATTGGACATAAGAAACATGGACTATGAACAAAGACACCACAAAATAAACAAGATCGGGTGGAAGCAAAGGAAATCCCTAAAAAAGATAACCAAGTTTTGCCTACCTCACGATCAGTTTGAAGGAGTACACGATGCTTGCGATGTAGGCCTCGATCTACACTCCGATTGGCTTCAGATATGGCCACCCCCCTCTGCTCTTATTCTTCTGCGCTCTGGTTCTACTCTTGAGTCGCCTCCTTCTTCGTGTGCCCTAAACCCTAGGTCCTGGAATGGGTTTGTGAGAGATGAATTGAAGGCAATGAAATTGGGGGTAATTTGGTAATTTTAGCATTGCCTGCAGCGGCTGACCAAACACATAAAAGAGGTTTCGGTTGTGGCTAAAATAGCTATTTTTATTGTATGTGGCTAAAATAGCCCGAACTAGATATGCCAAACGTGGGCACAATGTCACGTACCGCCTCATTAGGGATGTGAGTTCTACACTAAGCATCTTGCAAGTGTATTTGTTTGTGAGTAGCAAGACATGCAAGGTAGATCGCTATCGCATCACCTGGGTTGGTTCTTGGGCATAATGCACGGGGGTATGTAGTACCACTCATGGAGCTGGCTTCTCAGGAGAATGACAAATGCCCAGTCTGTGACAAGAAGCTAAAGCTAAGAGTTGAGAGAAGAATGAATAGAGTCACCGGTAGCCCCATTCTTTTTCCAGTGAGCTTCATTTTTTGGAGCCGCCCACTCATCCTCTTCCCATTTCATTCTCCTGTCACATCGGTTGCCACCAACACCACTTCCGACAACTTCACTCACTATGGAAAGGGAGACAACATAGCTTTGGAAAACTCTCACGCCACCATAAAAATAAATACATAAATAAATAAGAGAAGAGAAGAAGATTCAAAACCAAACCCAGATTCAGAACCCCCACAAAACAAAGAGTCCGACTTTTATTTATTGTGTATTTGATTATTCAAGGCTTGGAATATAATTAAGAAAAATAGTTAGGGAGTTGAAGAATTGAAGTTTGAAAAAGATTTCTAGAGTCGATAATGGTTAAAATATATGAAAGTGGAGTGAGAAAGAGTGAGATTTTGGATTGAAAGTGAGATTTGTGTTTAATAAAATACTCATAGTATCAGCTCATATTGAGATTCGTTCTAGTCTCCCCTCAAGAATTTGGGTCCAACTACAGTAAGCAAATGGTCGTATTTATGTACCATACATAAATTAATATAAGCCATTGGATTTTCCTTTTTGATCTGGGCTGTCCACCAAAAAGATTTGTTAACCGGTTACAATCGATAAACAACAAAACCCATGGTGTCTTTCTCTTTTCTTCTCTCTTCTTCTGGTCTCTCCTCTTTCCTCTGTCTCTCTGTCTCTTTGTCTATTTTCATGGTGAATAACTCATAGCCACATCTTAATGTTTAGAATATGTCTATTTAAACCCAACATAGATTTTGATGCCGAATGCGTGACTCAAAATCTTGCACCGGCTGCTAACAATAGAGGATGTAAATCTCTTCGTCTGTACCATCGACAAAGATAGCTCCACTCATCCCTGTTGGTGGTGCTTTTGGGTTTTGTTTAATTTTTTTTCCCGAATGCTTAACCCAATAAATTAGTAATACCTTTGTGAGACTAGTAATTGTTGATTTGCAATATTTCTAGGTATAATTGCATGGTGACTGGAACAGGACTATGATGAGAGTTTTTTTTTTTTTCCATTATGAGGGAGGAGGTGTTGAGAAATTACATCTCAGTATATTTAAAAAAAAAATTAAACTAATGATAAAATTTATAAATTTATAATTTTTTTTACTAATCTGTAATTATTTTATAAAGAGAAAGTTAGTTAAACATCCCTCTCCAACTTTGTGCAGTAAGAGAGGTCTAAGATATTTATTTTTTATTAGCTAAGGTCCTTCAAAATTTTAACAGAAAAAATTTGACTCAGAGAAATTTCACCTAACTCAAAGAAATTTCGGCCCCGACTCAGAGAAATTTCAATTTTCACAGAGAAATGTTGAAATTTCTCTGAGTTGAATTTTCTCTGTGAAAATGTTGAGGGACCTTAACTATTATGAAAATATTGTATGTCCTTTATTTTATAAAATCTTAATATCAGAGACTTTTAAAAAAATCTCCTTTTATAAATAGTCCAATGATGTGTAATTGTCTCGAGAAAATTTTGTTGTAGATCTATTGAATGACTAACATGGCAAATTTTGACTAGTTATCGTAAAACATCACATTTACGGATCAACTATATATAATGTAGTCTCATCTTGAATATGATGATATTTTATGTCTATATAATAAGTAGCTATTCAGTGGATTTAAATATATTATTTGGTGTATTAATTGAAAAACTTGATTAAAATTATGTAAAAAAAAATTGAAAATAAATAAAATACATTTATTAATATCTATAATCCACCTTCAATAAATATTTAATTTGAATATTTTTAATAAAAAAAAAAATAATAAAAATAATATATTTTACTATTATAATAAATATATGAAGTTCTAAAATTGCTCTCCACAAGTTATACGACATAAATATAGTTAAGCGGTAAGTAACTTCATAAGTAGTGATAAATAGGTTCAAAACAAGTACTAAGGTTGTTTGGAGAAGTAGGTTAAAAACTATTTTTTTTTGAAAAAAATGTGTAAAAAAGTACGGAGTTGATGTGATGCAAAAGAGGTTAAAAGCCAAAAAAAAAAACTTCTTTTAACCTCTTGTCAACAGATGCCTAAGTAGGTTTAGAACAAGTGGTAGGTTAGTCCAAAATGAGTAGTAAGTCATTTCAAGTTATTTTAGAATGAGTAGTAAGTCGTTTCATAACAAATGGTAAGTAAATTCATAGTGGTAAGTAATGTCATACTTAGTAAGTAATTTTATTAGTAAATATAATTTCATATATCAGTCATTAACAAACTAATTTTTTTTTTTTTAATTTTATAGAAAAGCATGAGACTTAATATATTGCATATCTGACAAAAAGTCGTCTAATAAAGTATATTGGAGTACAAGATAGATCTCAAAAGGGATAAAGAAAACCTTTACTTAGGGAGAATACAAGTCTCCACATAAGGATAAAAACAAATTTCCAAGTAGGGAGGAAAAAACCTCCATGAAAAAAGAAAACCTCTATACAAAGAGATATTATTGCAACAAAAATAATAATAATAAAAATAATTACTATCAAACAAACATTACCAATTACCTTCACAATCCTACAATTTTGTTTTTTTGGCAGCAATACATAGATCTTCTATTCGTTGTAGTCTTGGTTATCATTGCAGCAACATAAGAGTATCTGAAGTCATGATTGTCTTCCTTCTAGTCACTGTGCCACTATTTTCTCACTTTCAATATGAAAGTCACGACAAAATTTGCAGTTTGTTTCTTTTGTATTAAGTCATAACTTTTTTTATCATTATTTTCTCAAAACAAATAGATCATGGTGAATCTTTTAGATAGCAATAGTTTATCACTTCTGATAATAATATGTGTTTGGTCTTATTATATTTGATTTAGTTAAAAAGAACCATATTACTCAGTCGTGCAGAAAGAAATTTTTACCATCAATTAACATGATGCCTTTGATCATTAGAAAAATTGTGGGGCAATATTGACTTATAGGGTTTGGTGTTGGAGCAGATACGGTTGCAAAACCTCAAGCAGATACATGTGTCAGGAGTTCTATTGATTCACAAAGAACGATGTCCGGCAATTCAGAACCTGAGATGGAAAGACAAGAGGGCGATAAGTTCACCTCAGATTCTAAAGGTTTTTTTTTTTTTTTCTCTTATTTATTTGTGTGTGGAGTTCTTAAGGAGTTTGAATTATACAAGGGGTGGTTATGCTAATTGAAAATAATGTTTAAAGCTGTTTCTAGATACCCACTCCCATTAACTGGTTAAGCATTGAGTCTTTCACATAAAACTCCTATTTTATGTTTGTCTTAAAAATGTCAACAATTTCGCTCCTCCCTTTTTCTTTTCTGATGCTGCGGCTGGCATAGCTTATCCTTTAAAGTTTCTAATTCCTACTCTCTTTTTTGAAGGGCCTTGCAATGTGTCTATGGAGAGTGATTCAAATTCTATGGAAAATCCACATAAGAAGCAAAATCTCATGATTAGCCCAAAAACTTTTGTTGGCACTGAGATATTAAATGGAAAGGCGGTAATATTCCTTTACTCTTTCAGATTTATTCCTTTAAGCTATTTATTCTTAAAATTTTGTTGAAATATAGCTTTACTTATTTTGTATCTTCTAGTTCTAAGATTTGCCGGTTTTCATCAATAGGTTAATGTGGTTGATGGGATGAAATTGTATGAAGAACTGTTAGATTTATCTGAAGTTTCAAAGCTTGTTTCATTGGTAAATGATTTGAGAGCTGCAGGGAAAAGAGGGCAGTTTCAAGGCAAGTTCGCCAATGCATTCTCTTTTATTTGGAGTAGAATAGCTAACTTATAATGTTCTTTTTAAGAGTTTCCATTGAACTATACATATCATCTGAAAGTTTATTTGTTGAGAATTTTGAGTTTCTCTTTTATTTTGAATTTTGATTTTCTCTTAGTTGACATATTATGTGATGGATTTATTCTTTTTAGTGAGATAAGCTATATGTAGGTGATTAATAATAGCCATGGAATTTCTACTAGAAACTAAGAATCTGTGTGTGTTTGTATGCACATGCATCCACAAAGGTGTGTGAGAATGTTATTCCATATTTCTTTTGTTGCTCATGCCCTATTGTCAATTTTTTTACTTTTCAAAAGAAAAACTATAGTTAAATTATTACCATACATACTATCAAAATTATTTCTCAAAGTTCTGAGTAAATTCACGTACCTAATAATTACTTGTAGCTGAATTTATCGCTATGCAAACTGGATTTGAGGATGATATGTGGTTTGACTCATAGTTATCAGAATCTCGATCCGGATGATTTCAGTTGTTTTAAACAATCCGGATCATGTTTGAGAGGTTTCATTCTAGTCGGTAACGCGACTCTTTTTTGATGGGGTTAATTACACTTAGTACCTTTGCACTTTCACCAAAATCTCATTTTGACCCTTCCATTTTCAATTGTGACAAGTCGAGTTGCAATGTCATCCTTTGGTTCATCTATCGTTAATAAAAGGCTGACAGAATTTGTTATGTGAGTCATTCATGACATTTTTTCTCGCCTCATTTGCACCCTATACTTTCAACAAAATCTCACTTTGATTTCTCTACTTTTAGGGGTTGTTTAGGATGTTCTAAATAAGTGTACTTTTTGACTTTTTATGAAATATGGGTTGGGTTTGAAGTGATGTGGTAGAGAGGTGATGTGACTTAAATAGGATAGTGAATTTTTGACTTTTTGCCTTTTTTCAGATATGCCAAACTTGGCCTTAATGTCCGCTAGCCTTGTTAATGGTAGATGGACCAAAGGGTAACCTTACAACTTGATTTAAAGTGTAGAGGTTGATTGTCACAATTGTAAGTGGAGGGGCTTGAGTGAGATTTTGGTGGAAGTGTAGGGGTGTGAATTATGATTGACCATTTTTTATAGGAACGAGTGCTAAGTAGATTCTTGCTTTAAATTGTGAAATTACGGTTCTAGAGTAGATTTGTCACCCTAGTTGGAGGTTCTTGCAACTAAGATATTACATTATTGAGCATAATATAATTTTTGACCTAAGAAGCATGGATACACAACATGACACGAATACTCTGACACGGTAAATTTAAAAAAATATAGGATACGACACGTTGGGGACACATGCAAAATATATAGTTTTATATATTTATTATAGGTCATTTTTTAGAGGGCAAATTACATTAACGGTCCATATAGTTTGTGTCTTGTATCACTTTGATCCCTGACTTTTCAATTGTGATACATTTAATTCTGAATTTTGAATATTTTAAATCTTGTTCCAAATAAAAACAATTGAAGATACTATTACTTAATTTCAAGGGCATAATCATCAATTTGATAAAATATAAATTAATTTGACAAAAATAAATGTCAAAAGAATGTTTTTGAATTTTAAAAAATTATTTCTACCCTCTAAAGATAAAATTATGTAAAATTGATAATTTTTTTAGACATTTATTTATTTTTTTTTTTTACCAAATTAATTTGTAAGGCGAATTATACTAACAGTCTTTATAGTTTCGGGCCCGTGTCACTTTGGTCTTTGATTTTTCAATTATGACACATTTTGTGAAAACCTGCATTTAATTAAAAATAAAAATAAAAATAAAAATAAATAAATTAATAAATTTTATCTGGAGTTTGTCTGAAATATATTAGTATATAAATTAGTTTTAAATTAATCTAATTAATTCACTAACAAAGATATTATTAAAAATAATAATTTTGTGGGTATTCAATATTTATTGTTTATAAATTATTTTAATTAGGATTTAACATGATAATTATTCTTAATAAATACCTTAGTTAAAAATCTTGGTGTATCAATTTTGAGAAACCCATACAAATACACACACACACATACACACACAAAAAAACTGAATCAAATTCTCGGTGGCAGAATAATGCCATCTATTTGTTTCCATGTAAATATAGGAACCCTCACCTCATCATAATTCTTGGATTTAGAAGATACGAAGTGACCAGAGAATGACGGGGAGAGAGAGAGAGAAGCCTCAGCCTCAACATGTTTATATATATGTGCATGCTACTCTTGGAGTAAAGAATGTAAAGGAAACCTGAGAAAAGAAAATCTGTGAAGTGGAGTGAGTTAACAAGAGGAGGAGGTTAAGAAGGTTGCATATTTTCCTGCCATTTCACAATCCCATTTCAATCCTACAACTAATTAAGAAAACCATCTCAACCCTCTCATTTTTTTTAATTGTTGAAATTTTCAGATTATATTCATATGATTAAATGACTAACTTATAGATAGAAATTCATATATATATGTATATAAATTTTGTGATGTGTATATCAAATATTCGAAGATATTGATAGTCTTAAAGTCATGGTATTATTGTGAAAATAGGCTTGCATGTGTAGTTTATACCATTAAAGAGAGGATTGAAGATTTTATTTGATCCTTGAATCTGCCAGAAAATTTGTACGAATTTTTAGACAATTTTATACTCAAAATTTGAAGATTATTTCTTCTACAAAGTTGTTTATAATGATGTCTAGTTCATCTAGGGATTTTGGAAACAATTATTGAGCTTTGTAATAATTTATACAAATTTTTAATTAAATCTGAAACTGTAAGACAGATTTTACGATAGTTTTGAAAATTTATCAAAAATTCTATATTAAGCCAAATCTGGTAATTTCTAACTAAAAGATGAAATTTGAGAAGTCTAGTTTCATAATAAATTTTTATATTATGGATTTTATCTATGACTTTAAGTATGGAATTAATTTAAGAAAATGTGAAAAATCTGTGTCATAAAAATTTCTGGGAATTTTACAGAATTATTTATAATTTATTTTTGGGAAATTCTTTTTGAAAAATGACCTAAACATATTTATTGAATATTCTGTAAATTTTCACGAATTTTAGAATTGTATAAATAATTTACTTATAATTTTTAATACCTAAGGTATTATCTGAAATTTTCTGGACAGGTTTAAGAGCATCACTTCAATCATTTATTTGGATAAAAATAAATTATTATGTTGGTCTAATTCATCAAATATTGTAAATTAGTAATCCATGTATAGGTGTATTGTGGTTTATTTAATATTGTGCTAATCTAATTTTGTAAATTAAAAATTTATGCATGTGTGTGATTATGGTTTTTATTTCTTTGTATCTAAGTTATTATATTCATATCATGGTTTAAATTAATTGTTTATTTAAATTTTGTACATTGAATTATTATTGTGTGACATGTGTAATGTTTTATGTCGGGAATTTTTATGAGTTAGTATAACATTATTGGTGATTGAAATTTGAATAATTTGTGATTAATATAAAAACTAGCCAAAATGATTAATGGTATATATAAAGTTAATGATAGAGGATTAATACCGGTTGTTCAGGGTGAGTCCTGATTTTTAATAATTTTTACGTAAATTGTGTCGCGAAACCCTAAGATGGCACGGGGCTTATTTGAACCCTTATTGGTATTTGGTTTTGGAATAAGGGTGGATGTGCGGGTGGCATGCAGGGAAGTTACATACCCCTGGCAGACCGTTCCCTTGGGGCAGACCGTTTCCTTGGGGCAGACCACGGATGCCATGGCTTGGGTATATAACTCCGGGCGTGGGCATCTTTGGTAGTTATTAAATATTTGACCAAGGAAGGATTTCCAAATTAACCGTGGCCATGGCTTAGTGGTTGGTAAGAAAATCTTTTGGGTGAGATTTTGAGCGTCACCTAAACTATTAAAATTATCGAAATTATTATAATGGTTGTTATATTTATCATGCTGTTAATTATTATTATTATTTTAATTATTATGGTTTGATTATTTTCTTTTAAAAAGAATGGTAGATTGGTTATATTTTATTACTATGTTACAAAACTCATGGCATATATTTCGTTGCCCTAGTGTTTCATGCCAAATTATGTCGAAGAATGAACTGAGGCTGAATTTGAAGCTGCTGCTAATATTGAACCTTGTGTAGACACGCCCTTGGGCTTCATGCTACAGTTCGGACTCAATGTCACGGCTCTTAATCTGATCTCACAATGTGCGATGTGAGATTGATAAATCACCAAAGAGTCCAAATCCGGCAAATCATTTTGGAAAACTGATTTTTGTAAAGAAGTGCCAAACATGGACTGCCTTGCCATTTACAGAGTCACCACCTAAATATTTTATTTTGAGAGAATTTAGGAAACCCTGACTCGTGCCTAATGCCACGTGTCCATCATCATCAACAAAGTTACCTCGGCTCGAGAACTTGGGTACGATTGGGGAAGGTCATCTATGAGCACCCCCGCTCGCCCGATTAAAGATCGGCCGGTACTAAGCATGATATTTTGTTTTTGAAAACACATGTGCTCTTATTCCGATTAATTAGCTAATCTTACTATGTGATGTGCACAGCATACAAGTATAGACTAGATCACCTAATTTGGAACAAAACATTGTATATTCGTTTGCTTGAAAAATGGTTTGAAGTTTGCTACTTTGCCTACTCTCGTTAATAGGTCACTAAAATGCGGATTTGATGAATTGTTCCAAATTCAAGTAATCCAACTTCACCCACAGGCATTCCAGCAGTTATATCACATAAGCAATTAGCCTCATGGCAAGCATGCTATCATGTTAACACTCACACACATGCAAAATGCTAAAGCGTAAACACTCCACAGTGTACTCCGAGCCAAAAAAGAAACTAGTTGAAATCATGCATGATCCTAGTTTATGTTTAAAATGGCTAATGCATTGCATGCAAAGTGCAACTAGAATAGGCTCAGCAATCAAAATGGCATATGAGATGCGACAATTCGATACATGTATTAACTTGGAATAAAATACAATACAGTTAGTATGAT